CACGAAGCAGCCGGCTCTAAACTTGCTACGTGCAGAAAAGGCTTGCTGGTGGCTCCGGCTGGTTCGTCAGGAATGCAGGAACCGGAAGGTCAACTATATCTGGGGATATATGAGCTGTAGTCCAAACTCCTAGTCTCCCTCTTAACCCCTAGTATATAAGCCCTAAGCATCTTCGACTATGGCTCATATAGGGACTTCCATGGGAATCCAGTCCTCCATTCCCTACCAGTTCACTGCCTGCAAGTAAAGGGCACGCACGGCCCATGCCCTTTGAACGTCTGAGCTACAGTCGAAACTCCCTGCATCCCCAAAAAAGCGGAGAAACAAACTGGAAAATTATCATCATATAACCCTCGTATAGCACCTTAAAAAGTAGGATCCTTCTTGTAAGGATCCCAAACTAAGGTACCCCGAATTCTCCAAAAGCCTTTTAGTCAGTTTAGACTCTAGCTCACCTGAGCAAGTCGGAGTAGTGCTAATGCTGGCTTCGCAGCACGCTCCTGCCTGGCCTTGGGCAGGCAAGACCTGACCTGCAAATGCTTGTGGCCGCACAGCAGCAAGGTGCTTCCTTGCTAGTCTAACCGGATGAATCCCTTGCCATCTATCCCTTCGGCGTGTGGCCCCAGCAAATTCGAGAAAGACCACAGCTGGAACGCCATGGCATGTGTTGCCGCGATGGCCGCTGTCAGATGCGCTAAAGCGCAGCTGCCCAAGGGTTGAACTTGTGCATCATGCATCGGGATTTATCATGGAAACTGAATTTGAGTTCCTTCACAGCAACCCCCTTTAAGCGCATCGTCTACGGCCCCGTAGAGATCAGCAAGTCATTGCGTCGTGGACCCAAGCTCGGACTTCGTGCCATGGCCGCTGAGACCTTTCGCAAGTTTGGAAGAAGGTCGTAACACCTTTTCAATCTCATCTGCAATGACGACATCTGCTTGATCAACGCAATCCACAAAGACCTTCGAGCCTGGCATTGCCAAGCGGACAAGCCCACAAGCGGCTCCTATCTTGTCGAAGGGATGGTTATTCCCCCATGGGGGCTGGGGCGGATAGGTTGCTTCAACCTTCAAGGGCAGGATGTCAAGTCGGTTATCCAGGGCATACTTCAGCTCAGCGTAGGATGAATATGGACTTTCTGTCATCTCTGCATAGTCGCTGGTGCACACCGCCAGCATAACACCATTCTTCTCTTTCAACTTGTTTAGGTAGCCCGTGGTCATGACACCAAAATCCTGTGATCCGCCAGCTTTGACCATGAGGATCTCCAGGTCTCGTGCACGAAGGATTCGGCACACCCGGCGAAACTTCTGCTCCATATCCCGGTTCCTGGCATTGAAGCGAGCGGACACCATCGCCAAGCGAGCCTTCTTGACAGTCTTGGCTGCTTTGTCCTCTTCCCGGATACTCATCGCACCTGCGTCTGTGGCTGCTTGGATGTCGCCCTCGTCGCAGTCAACGGCCTCCCCCTTCTTGGCCAACCTGCGGATGATCTCGTCAATGTCGACTGGGGCTTCTGCGTCAGCACCGACAGCCACTGTTTCCGCTGCAGAACCACAATCCGGAAGAGATTCATCTTGTGTCATCTCGATGGAATCGGGAGGGGGTTCATCCTGGACGCGCTCTCGCGGAAAATCATCCTCTTCGACATTGCACGCAGGCTGATGCCTGGTTCTTTTTCCCCGGAACTTCCACATCAGAATGGCCAGGACAGGTACGACAACGGCAATGCCGGCCACGATGGGCAGAACGACAGGCCACGGGACCTGCGGTCCCTCTGCGCCGGCAGCCGGTGGAAAACTTTCGTTCGGGCTGGGGCTTGGTGAGATGTAGCTGAAGAGACTGGGCTGAGGAGCATGAAGCCTGCGGCCAGACACATTGTTTTCTCCAAAGGACAACCAAATGGAACAGGTCACGGAGAAGTCATCAGAAGCATTTAGGGCTACACCGTCCGTGGTCCAAGCGTCGGTGGACACATCCCACGCAACGCACGCCTTCTGGACAAACTCGTCACTGCCATTCGTAATGGGCATGGTCAACTGCATAGGCCCACTCGTAGATGACGGGCCAGTTGCCGAAACGTGAAGGGACACTGGTTCCACTAGTTGGGCGGCACCCGCAGCCCCATTGTACGCCTGGATCAGCTTCCCCAGCAGCGCGCCACCATGTATTTTTGCCGTGCTGATTACGGCCAGGTTTCCCACGGGAGGCAGGGATGCTGCAGCCAGGTGGACAGAAACATTGCCAGTCTCGAACATCACGTCGCTCCCTGTAACCTCGAAGGCGACGCCGACAATCAATTGGCCATGTGCGTCCTGGACCCCTTGCTGGAGTCCGTCGCTGGCGCTTTCCAAAATCAGCTCTGCGAATTCGGCCTGGAACCTTGCCAGAGACTCCACCGCCGCACTCACCGTTGCAGCAACATCCTGAAGGCTTCCTGGAGTAAATGTCAGTGTGGAAGTGCTGGTAATATTTGTGGAGGTGTTCTTTGCACTCGAAATTGTTGAGGATGTCGTCGAGGACGTCGTGATCAACGCCTGGCTTGTTGACGTCCAAGTTGAGGTCTGGCTGGTCGACGTCTCTGTGCTCGTACCGCCGGTCCATGTAAATGTTGACGATGTCGCAGTCGCTGTAGTCTGAGTGCTGGTCGTCGTCGACAGGGTCGCAGTCTCGCTGGTTGATGCCTTCGTCGTAGATACCGTGCGGGTCGCAGAAGTTGTGGAGGTTCTAGTGAACGTGGTGGTTGCAGAAGTTGTAGAAGTCCCCGTGGCCGTTGCAGTTGCAGAAGTTGTGGAGGTCCTAGTGAACGTGGTGGTTGCAGAAGTTGTAGAAGTCCCCGTGGCCGTTGCAGTTGCAGAAGTTGTGGAGGTCCTAGTGAACGTGGTGGTTGCAGAAGTTGTAGAAGTCCCAGTGGCCGTTGCAGTTGCAGAAGTTGTGGAGGTCCTAGTGAACGTGGAGGTTCCAGAAATTGTGGAAGTCCCAGTGACGGTTGTTGACGAAGTTGTTGTGACCGTCGTGGTGGATGTGATGCATGAACTGCAGCTCGTGGTCGTGGTTGTGGGCTTCGCAATTTTCATGACAACCATGTCAAACCAGCCTGCTGTGGTGTGGCCCTCGAAGCTTCCAAGGGAATGGCCGGCCAGCACGATGTCCCCAGAGCTGTCCACCTGCACAGCATGTGCATAATCCGCTGAGCTGGTCCCAGTCTGGAAGAGCCACAGCAAGGTCCCTTGACTGTCGAGCTCCATGATAACCATGTCGTAATCGCCCGAGCTCGTCTGGCCCTGGAGGCCTTGTTCAGAATGGCCGGCGACCAAAATGTTGCCGGAAGTCTCCACCTGGACAGCCCGCAAATTATCAGTCGCACTGGTCCCAATCTGGAAGGTCCATTGCAGAGCTCCTGAACTGTTAAGCTTCATGACAACCATGTCCCAACCGCCCGCATTGGTGTAGCCCTCCAGGCTTCCGGTGGAATGGCCAGCGAGCACGATATCCCCAGAGCTTTCCACCTGCGCATCACGCACAAAATCTGTCCCACTGGTTCCAGTCTGCGAAAGCCATTGCAAAGCTCCTGAGCTGTTAAGCTTCATGACAACGAAGTCCCAATCCCCAGCATTGGTGTAGCCCTCGAAGCTTCCAGTGGAATGGCCCGCGACAACGATGTCACCAGAGCTCTCCACCTGCACAGCATCTGAAACGTCCATTCCAGTACTCCCCGTCTGAAAGATCCACTGCAAAGTTCCCGCGCTGTTGAGCTTCATGACAACGAAGTCCCAATCCCCAGCATTGGTGTAGCCCTCGAAGCTTCCAGTGGAATGGCCTGCGGCCACGATGTCGCCAGAACTCTCCACCTGGACGGCACGCAGGTTGTCAATAGCCGTGGTCCCAGTCTGGAATATCCACTGCAAAGTTCCTGAGTTGCTGAGCTTCATGACGACCATGCCGTAATCGCCGACATTGGCGTGGCCCTCAAATCTTCCAGTGGAGTGCCCAGCAAGAACGATGTTGCCCGAGCTGTCCACCCGCGCGTTCTCTGCATGATCGGTCCCGTTTGTACCGGTCTGAAAGATCCACTGCAAAGTTCCCGCGCCATTGAGCTTCATGACAACGAAGTCCCAATCCCCAGCATTCGTGTAGCCCTCGAAGCTTCCAGTGGAATGGCCCGCGACAACGATGTCCCCAGAGCTGTCCACCTGCGCAGCATGTGCATAATCCGCACCCCAGGTCCCTTTCTGGAAAATCCACTCCACAGTTCCTTCACTGAGCTGTCTCCCTTCTGCACCACTATCCGAGGTCTCCGAGATGTCAGGACCGAGGTCGGAAAGCTTGCTGGCAGCCCTTGACTCCTGTCCGAGACACAGGGGCCAGGTTACAAGAAGCCCGAAGCAGGCCATCAACGACATCGCGAGCACGCCGTAGGCGTTTAAAAATACCTAATTTGGCTCGTCTCAGGCAAGCTTCTACTGCTTCAAGCTTCGACTCTTTGGGGCTTGGGGCTTAGTCTTGCAAGCCTCGTGTGAAGCTGGCCGAGTCAGGGTGTTGCAAGCCTCTGCTTCTGGAGAATCGAAACCCTATCGCACAACGCATCGCAAATACTGAGCTGCACCGTAAAGCCTGTCCCGAAGCAGGCCGGTGCCTTCGTGATGTCCAGCTCCAGAACGGAAAAATATGCCTGAAGGGTAGCACCCTTTCATTCCGACAGCGTCACGTTCGTGCTGGAACCAGGCATGACATGTTTCTCGTGTATGGCGCTGCTGGCAACAACTATGCCTTCAATCACGCGATATCACACGTGTAGCAGTACAGATATTTGTTACAGTTATTGCCACAGGGAAGGATGAAAAGCTCCATCACCACATAAGTCATAACTACATACGAGTAGAACTCCGTAGAAGCTTCCAGCCTGTACATCGGCTCGGGCTGCAAAGCTCTCGAACTCCTGCGACAACGGACTGACCGTCCAAGCCAGAAGAGCAACATCCTAGCATGCCATTGGTACGCTAGCCCTTTTCGCGGCCGTCCTGAAGCGTGATGGTCCCATCTCGGTTTGTGTCCAGCTCCATGAAAAGTTTTCGAAGCTCCTGCAGCAGAGCAGAACTTGGTGCGAGGCAGAGATGCTAGATTCGCGTGACTTTGAGAGCCGTGCATTTATCATACTTTCAGCCTTATCCGACGCCGCTTCTGCCCGACACATCTTTTCTAACAGGGTCATCGGGCAACCGAGCCGAACAGGTCATCCTAGCCCTGCCCATTCCGTCAGGGATCCGTGGCCTAAGTCAGCAAGCCTTTTTGTCTTCCCCTTACACAAAGTCTTCTACCAGGAAGCCCGCATGAAAACTGCACAGACCCCAAATCAGAAACCATTTTCCCAAACGGTCTGTTCGAAAACAAACACAAAGAAGCGCCATGTTCATTCTGATTGATTCCATAATATGCATCCCTTCTCAACCAAAACCCTAAACCCTAAACCCTAACGTTGGCCTTCATGTACAAAGCCATTCGCTCCTGCTCTGCCTGGCGCATGAAGGGACTGCTTTGGCCGAGGGGGCGCAGGGCTTTGGGGTTAAATCATATAGGGGCCTTAAATCATTTCCAATTCTATATTGGGGGCTCCTTATTATAATACTAGGCCCCCAACCCTGTTTTCATTATTTTTAAGGCTCCTGTATAAAGTGCTGCTTACCTTCCGTTCTGGCTTTGGAGTATCAAGCCTGCACCTCTTCGGCCCCGCACAAGAAGATGCCTTCAATCCAAGCCGCTGTAAAATCCCATATAGATTGTTTTCTGGGGTTCGCCTTCAAACTGCGCGCCGGTAAACCTTGCAAATGCTTCAGCTGATACCATCAAGAGCGCAGAACGCCCCAACAACCCCCTAAATAGTAGGATCCTTATTATGAGGACCCCAAAATAAGGTACCCCTGACTTGCGGAAACTCCCATATAAGGAAGGCGCTTTCCGAGCAGAGGCCAATGATACATCCTAGGGAGAAGAGTAGGCAAAGAGATTAAGGTAGGGTTTTTGACACCCTGGATGCAGTTCATGAACACCATGCCATGCCGGTAAGAATGACGAAGAACATGATGACACATGGAGTTGTTTACATGTGTATGTCGTACGTATCTGCGCTGGCATGCTCCGCAAGACGAACTCCTACGTTCCCACAAGACTTGCATGCATGTACGTATGTATGCATGCAAGGGGGTCTGAATGCTTTGAACTTATGTTTGATTGAACAGAAGCTCCTTATGACACAATGCAGCTGACGAGAAATAGATTTATCCTAGCCTCAAGTCGTCTTCATGCACAGACTTGGATGCTTGGGGCTTTCCCAACCTGAGTGACCAGGTCTCGGTCTAAGCGCGACAGCTCTGTGGCACCTCAGGGCTTCTTAGGGTTTCGGGGTTTTGACCTTGGGTTCTCGTGTTGTAGGGTGGGTTTTGGGCCTTGGGTCTGGGGTTTCTCTGGGGCTGAGTCTTGGATTTGGGGCTGCTTCAGGTCTTCTAGTCGAAGCTTTCCAACGCAGACAAACCCGATCGAGTTGCATGCTGAATTTAGGCATGCCTTCAGTCTCCGACCCGCCACCTAAGTTTCTCAGGCATCAAGTTCGAGCATTGCTCAAACCAACCACTCGCAGGACGCGCCTTTACCATGCAACGAAGCTTTCACTCAGGATCAGCTTCAAGTGACACTTCGACTGCCCTGCAGGTCAACCATTCACAAAACACCCCTACACCCTACATACTGAGTAGGGCTTACTACAGCGACTGCGATCCAGGTTAAGGTGTCCCTTGCTCTCTCGTCCGGCTTCAGCTTGGGCTTCGTATCTTGGATCCGACACTTCCGTCAAAAACAACAAAATGTTCATGTTCTGAGTGCTTCGGGGCCTGTCTGTTGAGAGGAGCCGAGCCCGAGCATCACAAACTTCGCAACGGATACGAATTAGATTTCCAAAGCCCGCAACCTCCCCCATCCCAAAAATTAACCAAACCCTAAGTTAAAACTGCACCGACCAAAGGGCATCGAGGTTCAGGGAACCCCAGAGCTCACCAGACCAAAAGCCCCGAAGTGGGCTCCGTCAACTCCAAGAGCCCTCGGCTTCGCATCTCATAATGCATGATTTGTAAATTACAATACAGCATAGTAAAGTAGACCAGATTATAATGTGATCTAAGGGCCGAGCTCTCCACGAAAATGCCCGTGATGATGTTCATGACCCCGAGGACCTGCCAGGATCTGAGACATAGGGTCCCAATGGCAGCTGGAATAGGATTTCGACTCGCAATGGGATTTTTCCCACCGGCCCAGCTGACAATGTCGCACCGTAAGGAATTCGTCCGAAACAGGATTTTGGGTTTCGGGTTTAGGCACTTCGAATCCGCAAGGTTTCTCAGAATGGATGGAAATCTGAACCTGGCTGCAACTGGAACCATTCCTCAAGTGCATAGAAACATGTAGTTTAAACAACATCGTATTCTATGAGCATCTGCAAGTACCTCCAATCCGCAAATGCTAAACCTGACGTTCACGCCCTTCGTCTACAACGCTTGAAAGCTGTCCGTAGAGGCTGCTCCTGCGACCTACCAGTACGAAAGGATTGACTATCCCTTCAGTCATCTCGAAACCGTCTAAACCCTAAACCCCTGAATCATGACGGGCGCACCATGAGCGAGATGTAGAGCACGAACAGAACAGCATAAACCTCGGAGATCTCCAGCAGAGGCCTGGCAAGTGCGGCGGGCCGTTCTAAAGTTTGGGCACCCTTGCAATATTGGGATTTGGGAGACATGTTTTAGGAGGTATGGGGCTTCACAAAACTAGGGGTTACGATTCAGTTTGAGCTGCAACTTCAAAGGCTTTGGGCTTCGGACTGGTGCAGCACGGTCTGTGATTCTTGTTCGTTCTCATGCCTTTTTCTGACTCGGGCGGCATAAGGACCAGCGTTCTTCTAGCCGCAATTTTCTGCGCTCTCCGTGCCAGGCCTTCGGGGCCTTCGGTATCCAACAACTTGGAACAGAGAAACAGATCTCGTGTCACTCAACTTGCAAGAACCGGCGCGACGACACGATCTATATGTTCGAGCAGGGTATGGTTCGAGAACGGGGTATGGGAGAATGGGCACAGGAACTCTCTGGCAAGGTCTGCGCCTGACGAGGTTCCACCAATCGTCGCCACCCGTAATCGCCATGAACAAGGAGAAGGAAGCCATGGGAAAGGAGCTGTAGTACCTAGCCGGCCGAAGCTTCGCCTTCCGTACCATAGACGTCGCCTTCCTTCTGCCTGCACCCCGAGATCCCTCGATCTCCTAGTGCAGGCCTCTGGGCCTCGCACACGGTGCCCTCATCACAGAATTTCGACTTTAGGGCGATCAGTTATTCCCCTCGATTGAAGGAAAGTTACGGAAGTGCTTCACAAGCCGAGGCCAAGCCACGTGCGAACACCTTCGATGCTCACGTTCGAGGAGGTGGCATCGTGGATGAAGCTGGTCACACCTGCAGCGGACATCGACGGACACATCAGGAACTTGGGGGTTGCCGAAAAGCTCGCACGAAGGGCTACTGAGGTGCAGCAAAGAGATGCAGAAGCCTAAGGGCCTTCATTTCAAGGGCAGGCAGCAAAGCAAAGTAGCCGACACGACAGCGTCAATTCCTGCGTCCTCGCGAGGACAGTGTCCAGACTAAACGCGCAGGAAGTAGCCAAAAAACCAAGCACTTGTCTACACATCGAAAGCGGGCCTTGCAGAAAGACGATGCTGAAAACACCGATGGTCAGCGCAAGGAAAACGATCGCCCATAGTAGTGGGGCGATGGAGTTCATGATCGACCTTTTAGAGCCACTGCCTACTTCAGCTTGCTGTCTTCTGGTTTCAGGGCTCGACAGAGTCTGGGCTATTCCAGACCGCATCTGCTTCTGCTACGGAGCATGCTCAGGTTCGTATGTAGTCCTCTTGTTGCATCGACTGCTGCAGCAGGATGCAGGACAGTTCTGTGGATCGGGGAATCTGCGCGCTGTTCTTGTCACTGTAGTGCATGTCGTTACCAGTGCCACTCAATGCTCCTCCACAGGCTGACCAATCCACAACAGCAAAGGTGGCAGAGTGGTTTCAAGCCGGGCATTGGAATGTTAGAATGGAGACAGACTGTTGGCAACGCTACCAACATCGCCATCACACTGTTGGGTTACCACTCCTACTTGGTGCGCGTAAGCGCAGACAAGCATCCCCAACGTGTATCAAGCACAACCCCGTCCCTGGAAATCGAGGTCTTGCAACCAAAAGACCGATTTAGAATAAAGGTCCTCGTTAACTTTCTGGGGTGAACGAGCGGAATCCCCAGCACTTGAACGAACTGCGACAACCTGGTGGCCAGGCTGCCGACAAAAGCATGACACGCAGCTCACGGAAGAAGCGGAGCACACGGATGATGCGGAAGCTCCTGGGAAGCAAGCGTGATCTTGTGGTTTCCCAGAACTCGGGATGATTTCTCAGACCACGAAGGGAGAGCTCCCCAAAACGGAAACCATGCCAAGTCAGCAGAAGGGTTGTCGGAAGCTCCTGCTTAGCATGGAAGCCTTCAGGCTCCCTGAACCTATGCAAGCCCCAGATTTAGCCGAGGCAGCCTCAATGCGCGCAGTAGCCGAAGAAGCCGGATGTAGCCTCAAATGCAGCACCGAGGGTGGGAGTGAGCACCCCGGCCATCCGAAGTCCCCTTCTTGTATCTATTTTCATTGTCATAGTACATATTGCTACAACTGGTGTCTATGCATGTACGCACCGCGCTGGACGGGGCTCTGGTTAATGCCCTTGGCCATTTCCAGGGCCTGAGGCATTCGCTCATGTCCAGTCCGATCAGCACCAGCACAGTGTCGGTGAGCATGGAGAGGACCTTGAAAGTAGCACCATAGCACGGCATTGTGTACAGTGTTCCAAAACCATATACCAGCTGACAGCGCATGAAAAACACCGCAAAAGCAAGACGTGATGTGTTTCTCTGACGGCTCAAGTTTTGAGGTTCTCATGCGCTGAGCTGCAGCTGCGACAGGCCTTCCTGGAACCAAAATTGATGACGAGAGATTGTCAGTTCCCTGTCTACGCGTTTCTCGCGCTGTTTGCTGGCTTCAGGCTGCTAGGCTTTCGAACTCCTCCTTGCTTGAGGCTTCAATCTGAATTGAAGGACTTCAGCCCAAGCCCTACATAGCACATGTGGGCGCGATTAAAACACTTCACAAAGCCAACCCTCGTCATGCACGCCCTAAACCCAGAAACGCCTGAGAACTGTAATGCCTCGCCATTTTTGCGATTGCACGCCCCCCAGATCTCGCGGTCCAAGGCCCGGGCGAGGATGGTGTCAAACAAATTCCTCTGGAAGGCGTTCTTACACGGGTCTACGGTTTGGGATATGTCGTGCTTCGGAATCACAAACACCGCATCGCTACAGCTGAGACCATCAAGCTCCTGATCCTTTTGGTGAACTCCGACCCCTAAACTCTAAAACCCGAAAATCGCTTCGGCCTTGGTGTTTTGGGCTCAGAGGATCACAAAACTGAACGTCTCATCTCGAAACTCTCCCCACGGTGACACGCCGCGAGACTGACGGACATCTGAGCGAGCGGCCAGCGCCACTCCACGCCGACCCAGAAGTACCACTCCTCGTCAGATCTCGAGGGTAGGGCCGGAATGCTGGTTGTTCTTTTGCACCTTGGTTTGCGTTGTCTATATCGGATATTTACAGAAGTCTCAGGGCTGCCTGTGTCGAACAAATCCGTACCACCCGAAGAGCCGTGAGCAGAGACTTTGAACACTCCGTGGCGCCACAGGCTCTGTATTTTTAACTTTGACTCCTGGCCTGCCGTGGCCCGGGCCTCTTGCGAAGATCAGATGTGGCCGTAATGGTTAGGAGTGGGTACCGGCTCTTGTCATCAAGCTCAGCTCAAGAAAGCTAAGTTTCACTAAGCCCCAGAACCCACAGGGTAACAGAGACCTTGAGGCTGCTCGCCTCTGCGAGAATGCGCAGCAAGAGCTCCAGCGTAAAAAGACTGGTGAAGCCGATGTCCATGACTTCTTGCCTCAGTTGGACGAGGACCAATGGCATGCTCCGACATTGATTTCGTGGCTCGATCGATCCGACTTTGCTTTCGGCTGATCCAGAGATGTCTGCCCCAACGCATCTAAACCGTCGGCAAGCCACGAACAAAAACCCTATTGTAGACGAAATCCCTTGTCCATGTAAGCTTTACTGAAGCCTGACATGTGGTATGTCCCCTCCTGAGGAAGCTACCACAGCGGCGGCGCAGTTGATCCCGAGTCGCGACCTGTGCACACTAGGGCTGCAGTCACCTTTCGGAATGACTTGGCTTACAGTAGGCCTTTCTTCTGTGGAGGTCTGTCCCAGAAGTTCCAGAAGTACTCACACACTCCTGTGTTGCAGCTCATGCACTTAGCCTCCGGTTGGCTTCATGTTTGGAGGGCTCTGTTCTTCCCTAGAAGAGCCAGCCGGCACCTGCAGACCGCTCGTCGTAGAACGCTGCCTGCAGCAGCTGTGCGAGGGTGCGCCGGCGACAAGGGCTCTGCTCGTAGACTCGCAGTGTAACTCATGACTCTTCCTTGGGGGCTTGGGGGGGAATCAGTCCAAGAAAAAGCTGGAGCCAGGTGAACGATTCCAGAAGGGCTGTCGGCTAAAGTAGACACCATCGTCTCTGGGTTGGTAGCTCTCACAGCTCGGACGGTCCAGGGGAGGCTTCACAGGGCTGAAGCTTTTAAACGAATCGAAACTCAGAAAGAGGCCCTGGAGTCGTGTCAAATTCGGTGTCATCAACTCTCGAGCAATGCAGACTGCTGTTTCGTGAGTGGCCCATCTACGACACACCAAACCCACATGTTCGGGTTTTCCGCTTTCACCCATGGCGCAGGCAAGGAAATGACGACGACTAGTTGGCTACGGTTTACACCTCCTTCCTTCCAAGTGCCATTGCTGGGTCCAAGACTAGCCATCTAGAAGCCCTGCAGCAAGTGGCGTGCTGGTCAAATGACCTTTCTGAGCCGGACGAAACTACCCATGGATACTTCGACTTTGGTCGAAGGAGAGGTGGCCAAGTTAGACACCCAACCATCCAGCAGCCAAGAGTGACTCGAAGAGTCTTGCACTTCGGTGGGTTAGCTGTCGCAATGCTTTTGTTTTCACGCCAGTCTCAAAGCTGCCCCAATGCCTACGTATCTAAACCCCGAGAAAGAGCGTGACATCTGGGGCAAGGGCTGCCCTTCGAACGTTTTGGTCTGCGGTGACGCAAATGAAGATGGCATTCAGGGCGATCAACGCCTGGCACTAGCAAAAGCTGAAAGGCGCGGCTGCAAGGCGGAGCTGCAGAATGAAAAAACACGTAGATGAACAGATAGCCAAGATGCACAGTTTGATGCATCTCGATAGCTCCACATCACCTCTTACCGTTTGCACTGTAGAGAAACACATGATAACACACGCAGAAGCAAACCTGCATGCTGTCAGATTGGGTTTGTCCATGTGTGCACGGCTGCGTCTGCATTGAACACACGTCCATGGAGGCAGGAGGTGTCGATTTGCTAAATGAGTGTTACATGCAAAGGTGAGCAAGTCTTGTTCTGCCTGCTGCCATAACTTAAATGCGTCATCATATCATCAGAGGTCTCCGATGCACACTCGACCAGGTCAGATGGCATGAGACAGTAGATGTTGGAGCCCATTGGGTTCACATCGCCGCAAGCACCACGGATGGGCCAAGACTTCAGTAATTCCGTCCACCATAGCGCAAGTCGAAGACCTAGCGGACCTAGGAATAATCAATGTTGAATCGACAGCCTCCCTGAACCTTGCTCTGCAATCTGTCTGCCAGGTTACATGACCCGGCCTACAACCAACTAAAGTCATGCTCATGAAAGTGAGCGGCTTTTGTTTCAAAACCATGCCAGTCTTGAGCTCTTTCTCTCTGTCTCTCCCTTCCGGCCTGTGGCCCGCTGGGCAGAAAAATCCCGAAAGCCATGCCGCTGAAGCCAAGCTGCAGACCACGAGACCCCGGAAGTGTGTCCGAAGATCATAAAGCTTACACCGTAAATGCAGAAACCAGGAGCCCGTCGAAGGATCCTGGATGAAACAATCCAGACTCATAAACTTCCACAGGCAATGTCCTCAAGCGGCGGAAGCGGGGGAAATTTAGTAGTCGTAAACTCATAACCCCCCCCTCCCCATTGGCCCGAATGACATATGCCGGTGAGACCATGACGGTGCCCACGAATGGCCGACTGCGAACGAACCTGGCACTGGCTTTTTAAGCTTTCGCTTTTCGGTTTCTCTGTCGAACTGCTGCTCGTAGCGACCAGTGTGGGGTTGGTGAAAGGCTTGTCTGCACAGTTTGAAAAGTGAATCTGGGCGCCGGTCCGGCATTAATTATGGTGAGATCAAACGTTCGTAGCCAACAGACAACTGCGAGCTCGGATTCACGCCCCGCGTCCGGAAGCCTTGTTCCGACCAGTAGGCTGCTCTGCTGGGAGCTTTTGACAGAAAGATCAATCGTGATGCTGCTTGGCAAAGGGGCGGGGGGCAGTCGGGACTACGAACACTTCGCCGGGGCATTTCTCAGACTCTCACAGCTCACGAGGCTCCTCCGGGTCGTGGCCAAACAAAGCACCACCACATACATGGCGGTAGAGGTACGGTGCGCCAGGCGAAGTCTTCATTGCAACGCTACAGACAACAAATCCTCATTTCTGCTCCTGACTCCTGGCATCCGTCAGTACCTCTTGAGAACCCTTAAAACACGGAAACCCATCAAAGCTTTCTGAGCCGCTTCTTTTCATCTGTATCTGTATCTGCAATATGTTCCGTGCCCCGTCCCCAGCAGCCCAGGCACGGGAGAAAACGAGTGCTACTGACTCGAAACCATCAAACCCCAATTGTTCTAACTCTTCCTAAACCCTCCTTGTACCTTCTATTAGACCCTGAATGGACCATACAACATACCCCCCATTTGAGGGTACAAGGAGGGTCCTGGCTCATGATCTACCCGGGCCTTAGGAGACCCGGGCAGCGTGTCTTCGGTGCCGCCATGCCTTCCAGATCCAGGCCTCCAAGACGAGACCAAAGCGCTGACATACCAGAATCCATGCTGTATGCGTGGATGTGCGTAGATGAGCATAGATGCTGGATACCGTATGTATATACACACAAGCTATGTTCATGTCATCCGAAGTAGCTGAGGGCCTCGCGAAACAGAGCTGATCTAAGATAATTTGGAAGCTTGCTCCAATTGCGGTCACGTCACCAAGCAACGTGTGGCATCCAGCTTTGTGTTACCTTGCTCATTAATGCAACTGGCTTCCACTAGCTACTCAAACATCTAAGCTGTCTAATCGTATCTGAATCTGTTATAGCCCGCATGCCTCCAGCGAAACATTGCCTTGACACAGCACTCTCTCTCTCTCTCTCTCTCTCTCTCTCTCTTTGCCGCGTAATCGGCCTATCGCTTTCGACTTCTCTGGCCCAGGAAATGACGAAACGACAGATTCTCCCGACGACGCTCGCCTTCTCGTCGCCGTACTGAACTGACACCCTGACTAGTCCAACTTGAAGACCTTTGCGTTTTCAACGTTTTTTCCTTTTCCGGAACCCCACCAATTGGTTCAGTTAAGCCGAGAACAACAGAAACACCTCAAAGTCTGAGCTCTCCCAGCCGTCCATGCACTAAATAATCCCTAGAAGCCACTGTGCACTAAGGGTCCCTGCCACTGTTCCTCAAGGCTTTGCGGAAGGCCTCTGCAAGTCGTGCAGCTCACTAGAAGCCTCATACATCTTGTCGACAGCTAGTAGGTAGGCGGGCATCCGGGATGCTGATTAACTTTTCCACCGGGTAGTCGAAGATTCAAAGATGGGATCTCTGCCTGTTTTGGTTCCCGCACAGATCCACATCCTACGATACAGATTAGCCCAGGAAGGGACCACACAGAGCCTTGCCGTCTAACTTCCGGGTGGCCCCTGTATGCTGCGCTTCGGCGGCCTGCCAGCCTGAACTTACACTGGAAGAATCAATTCCGAGACGCCCTGGTCTAACCCGGAGGGCTCGATGCTATCACAGGCACAAAGGCCCCCCTCAAAAAAAAACACTGAAATTCATCGATAATCAACACCCCCAAAGAATCGATTCCAAGCTGTAGGCAGGCTTGCCTTCTGGATGGGATTACCATCCACCTTCCGGGCTTCAGAGTTTTTGGCTCCATCACCGGAGACGCATGGCTTTGGCATGGATGACTTGATGTAGTTGCCATGTATGGAAAATTACGTACTGTGAAGCTAAGTTGGGTTTGAGGGAATGAGAGACCCTGCTACCAAAACCCCCCCTTCCCCCGCAAACAAAGCTCTCATTGTAACCGCATAAATCCTCCTAAACTCACGAGGGCTTTAGCTTCTGAATTGTCGAGCAAAAGGTCAAAGGTTTCGGCTCGACTGGCTCTGGTTCCTCTTAGCATGAGGTCTGGTGAAGGCGGGAGGATTTTCTTTACGCTCCGAGCAACATCTGGCTGGGCGACGGGGTGGAGCATGCAGATACGGTAACCGCTCGAGAGTGTGATGAAAGCGGTTCTCCAGCCGCAAACTAAGAACGGAATAAGAGGCCGGCGTCATTTCGCAAATTCGGAACTTGGAGGTTACAGATGATGCTGTTTTGGGGCCAATCTATCACACAAAGGCTCGGACATTCAAGGGATTAGGAATTGGCTTGGTAGGGTTTATCAACACAGCCCTCGGCAATCCAGATCAGGCGGGATAGGTTCGCTTGTGAAAGGGTTGAGGAATTCCCTGTCTTTGCCCTCATCCACAAAGCTTGACAGGAGCGAGTACATGAGTACACGCGAGACTCGCCGATGCCCGTGTTTGTGCATTTGCCTCCCTTCCGTCATCAAACTCACCCGGCACCTTGTCTGCCAGGCGATTGAAGGCCTCGTGCGTGGCCTTGGGAAGTCTCTGCAAAGAGGCCCTTCTACACTGTCCATGCCCGAAACACGCGTCGAACCGGCATCATAACTGAAGCTTGACTTTTGACTGCCTTGACTTAATGAAAGGACTTCATCACCAAGACGCTAGTAGGTCAAGCTCTATGTCACATAGGGCATGCGGTATGGAAACTCTGCGGGTGCTGCTGCGTGTGGGTTATTAACGGTTATTATTCATTTCGAGCCAGCAAGACAAACTGACTGACCAGAGCAGAAACTCGGGAAAACAGCTTTTAGTGGCAAATGTCCTTCATTCAACAGGCAAATTAAACAGGAACGAAGGATCCTTCCTGAAACCACCGCACCTGAGAGCTCTACGATCACCCTCCACCCAGGAAAGGGTGCTAGCTGATGAACTGCCTTCACCTCCGAAAGACCTATCCAGGCCCTAAAACTCTGAAGAAAGAGTTCTCAAAGCAAGAATCCCTCTTTCCGGCGTCCATACCGCCAGGATCCTCAACTCCAAAGGGCTCAAACACAGTGGGGCTCAGAGCTGTGCCTCCTTCGTGGGCAGCCACAGTGCCGGCCCTGCCGTGGTGCTGCTCTCCTCAGGATGTGAAACTCTGGTGAAAGGGGTGCGGGTCAAGCAGGTTTGAGCGTTTCTACATTGTGTGCAAGGGGTTGCAGATCGTGGGTCTTCTCTCCTGCGTCGATTCTTGGAAATCTCAGGTACTCAACCTTCTCTCAGAACACTACTAGAGTCAACACGAGTACACCTAGAGTCCGGAACAGGGTGGCTCCTTGGACTCAGCGAAGGACAAGCTGTTCCGCATGGCCTTGAAAGCACAGCCGAATTGGATCGAAGTTTTCGGGTTCCCTTTCGGGAGGGGCGGCTTCCATAAGGCCTCAGAACTCCTCGTGGAGGGGAGTATGACGACTTGCGGGGTTCCCTATGAAGGAGTACAGGGACTGTTTCGCAATCCACCATTCTGAGCAGTCTTTCAGCCTGGTAATTAATGCCTTTCCCTATGTTAGGCTCCAGTGAAGACGACCTCGGAAAGCTTTCAGGATTTGTGGGACGATGGTTTGGGCTTGCCATGTCCCGCTCAGCGAAAAAGACAACAGAACAAAGTCAGGTAAAGCCTGCTTGCGTAGGGTCTGCTATCTCTTGACATCGAGTTTGAGCCGCACCTCTTTTTGCTGCGGACTCCATGCGAAACTCTTCATGTGGCCACGCTACAGCAGCCAGCACTACAAGATGCATGGGAGGGCGCCCCATCACCACAGCAACTCCGAAACTCGTCCTCAGACTACCATCTTTTCCCGGAGAGCTGTCTCCTGGTCACCGCACAGCACCTGCCGGCGGGAAGTAGCAGCAATGACCGGGCGCATGAACTGAAAACGAAGACAAAAGCCATGTGTTGCAAGTTGCTCAAGATGGTTTTGTGCTACGCAGTGCCTCGGCATGATGCTCGTTGATATCCGATGGCAAGCAAAAAAAACACTCACACTGGTCGACCAGCCGGACCCTTGCATTTAGTATGAGATTGGTCCCTGACACCCGACACCCTCCGTAAAGACCGCAAACCCCTTGAATGGTCCTCAACCTCCAAGATATGCAGCTGGAGAAGGGTAATCCCTAGCCTTGCCAATACTGTGGTGACTGCTGTCGCTACTGTGCTTGTGGCAAGATCTTCCTGTGTCTGCCTGTTGCGTACGAAGTGCTATATTCTTCATAGCAAAAAGTCCGCATCCAGATGCCTTCATTCCGAAGTTGGTCTCGACTTCCTGAGGCTTTCGGCTGTCAGCTCAGATCCCAGCAATGAAGAAAACTTCACAAAAGGCTACAATGGGCGACCTCGAGCCTGATAAGATTGCCTGAGAACCCTCAGACGGATCCTTGATGTCTCGGATGAAGCGCTCCACCGAAGCGTTGTAGAGCTGCCTTGGCTGTGACAGGATCCATTGATCTCAAGACTGGAAGCAATGCTGCTGAGGACCTTGTCCGACCGTCTACACACAATGGGCAGGTTCTGCCGATAGAAGCTTCTAGGCACTGATGCTGTAGGCTGGCAATCTAAATGAGAGTCGCAATGAGAGTCAATCCTTTGGGACTGTGAATATAACGTAGCATCCGCCCAAAAGAAACAGACGATCAACAGACAGATAAACAGACTACGAGCATAGCAGAAACGGCAGATTTGTGTCTGCGCCGCACTGCCGCAGGGAAGAGATGCAGAAAGTCTTCTTAACTCCGGCAAAAGCAGGCAAGCTGTAATTCCATTGCAGGCACCGGTCTCCCTGTGTCAAGTAGTCGACTCCTGCCGGAAGCTCCAGAATAGCTTGCTTTGTCTCGGCGTGTCTTGTTGGCTCTTCACTTACTAATTGGGCCGCATGAATTCTGAACATACACATGGTGCGGAGCAAAAACAGGCCGTTCGGGCATCCTGTCCTGCCAGAACGTCGGGAGGCTGGGCCTCAACGGTATCATTATAGCTGACCTGAGGCGCAGAGAGCCGCTTCACATCGCGTTCTTTGAGAAAGGCCAGAAGCTATGGCAAGTACTCGGTCAAGCATTGCAAGGACATGCAAATCAGGGACTTCTCTCCGATGCGACTACGATAACTCCGATAAGGGATAGCATGTCTTCCTGCTTGCAGTCTGTGAGATGCAACCAACCGGTGGTTGAATATGGTGACAACTGATATTGGCCTGACACATAAGACTGCAATGCCTGGTACTTGTACTCACTGAACAAGACAACATACGGAAACTTTTTCAAACCTAGAGCGCCAAGCCTAGAGTCTTTGACATTTCTGAGCTTCTTCACTGCGGCCATCTCGGGACTGTGCATAGCCTCTTGGCCCAGCCCACTTCCGCTTGGCAAAAACTTACAAGTCTTACTTCTTTAGACAAACGGTTCGAGTCCCCTCTGAGCCATGCGGTCCGAATGGCACCATGGTCTTCGTCGGTGCCCTGGCAGCGAAGCGGAATCACTAACTTTATCTGCTGGTGGCTTCAAGGGGCAAGCGGGCCTGACAGACCTGTGCTCCACACTGATATGATAGACAGATAATACGGAACGCCAAGGAACAGCATACCAGGCCGTATTGATATTGTGGGCCATCCCAGATGCAGCTTAGAGACTGCATTCTGGGGTTGGCGGGGGAGGGGAGGCATTGGAGGCCTGTCCTGGAAGCCACTCAGCCATACACATGGATCGCGGCAGCCAGTTGCAAGGCATTTAAGTAGGAACAAATGAGTAGACAAGTATGCTAGGTTCACTAGACTCAGTAGTTGAGATTTACATGTCATGCAACGTATCGTGACGTAAGGTACCGTAACGCAGTGTAAGTGTGTCAGTAAGCAGGCATGCACGCATTCATGCAATCCAAAATAAGTTCACAAGTCAAGCAGCGTGTAATTAGTTACGTATGTGCGTCTGTAAAAGATTTGACAAGCATGCGGCGACTCAAGCGCCGAAGGCTTGCGTGCGACGGGCTGGACGCTTTTGCTCCAGTGCGCAGGGTGCAGTTGTTGGTAAGTGGCGCTATCGCATCATGCCTGATCGCTAAGTGTATCTTCCGATGCTCAGTGATGGTCTCAATGTTAGACTCCACAACCGCCGAGTGCATTGCCAGCTCAACTCCATTGCTATCCATCTGGGTAAAACCCCGGAGGCAGGGAATTGCCAGGTGCTCCTGCTTGTTGGAGAACAGGTTTAGCTAACTGATGATAACTGTTGTGCTAAGCCTTGCTCTGATGAAAAGCTTGAAACTGTTGAAACTGCATTCTTGAACTCGTATCTGTTCTTTTATCATCTGGCGTGAACTTTGAATGTTGCCAAGGGCTTTGCTTTTGGTATGCACGCCGGAAGCTGGAGCCCTCATGGGTAGTTCAGGGATGCGGAAACCGCAGCCATATGCCGAGGCCAATCGTGTCTTGTCCCCCGAAGACGCTCGCAGAGACCGACTTTGCAGGGGGAAGAGAAGTGAATGTATAAGTTCATGTACATCTACGTATGTATGTACGCCTGCAAGTATGCAAATGGTTGAGCCTGTGCATGTGTATATGTGTCGGTACCGGTGTGCGTGCGTGTGTCCAGATATGTGGATGTTATTTGCACATGAGTATGTCTGTATGCATGCATGGTCCATCGGTCCATCTGTTCAAATCACGTATACATACACTAATGTGTTTAGCTGGACCGAACTGCGCAGTCAAAGCAAGCACCTGGTTTGTCCATGGTTTTCGGTCAGGGTCAGCATGCGCCTCAAAGGCGCTCCAAGCAGTGGAGTTCTCGCAGTCGCAGTAGCTGGGAAGGCTGCCTGTAAAACACTGTAAAATGAGCCGTGCTCGGAGGTTCGTGGGCTTCTGTAAGTCATGTTATAAGTAGCGTAGTGGGGATATACATACCTCTGGCTCTGAGCTGTAGTTCGGAGGAAGCTCCTACGCTTCTGGAGCTGATGTTTTTGTGGTGCGGGCCGAGGACCTTCAACACTTGGGAGTTATGCTACACAACTTTTAGGCATAGTCTGGCGTGAGCACAGTCAGATATGGTGGAGCTCAAGGTTCAGCAGCAAGGTCTTGCTTGACACATATGCACTGTACGCAAGCAGATGCAGTGGGCCTTTTGACGATCCTTCTTAGCTTGCTTTGTGCTACTTACCGCTTGCTCGTATACACTCTATAGGAGCAGCTCAAGGCATTGTGGACGGGAGGGAACGGCCACTTCTTCACCGCTTTGGGGGCTCGGCCCCAGAGACTTGGTTGTGCGTGTGTGTTTGTTCGCGGCACGTCTCCTAAGTGTCATATGTCATACGGTTTGATGTGGTTCCCCTCCTGAGCCCTCAACCCGTCCAGGCTTAGTAAGGCTCCCGGAACATACGGTCTGGCAAGCTTAGAGTCCAAAGGTATACCACACAGGATTTTTTGCCTTCGGTAGGGTGCGTAGCAGCGAACTTAAACTGAATCCGGCCACTTCAAGCGACACCTTGGCTTGTAAGGAGGCTTTACGCTTTGACTTTCTGCGGCTTTTGGTATTTGGAGTCTCCGGCATCCCAGCCTATGTGGCCCTGGTCGGAGCCCGCTGAACCAAGCGTCCCTTCCCCCCCCAACGCACGGTTGGCCTGTCAACTTGGCGGCGAACAGGCACATCGACTCGTGGTAGGCCTGTAGGGCTTCGAGTTAGGGCATGTCCAAGTGTCGGGTGTGGGGCCCAGGGCAATGTTGCATTTCCGCCATGGGATAGACCCAAAAGAGGTTCCCAAGCAATCTAGCACCCCGGATACAATCCACTTTGCTGCAGTCCTCTGTTATTCCCACCATGGAGGCCGTCTTCATGTTCTCGATGGCCGCAGCCACCTTAGGAACCGGCATTCTATTGTGGGCTTTATAGTCTAGGCAGCTGGGAGTATTCATGGGAGGCTTTCCAGCTGCAGGCTCGCACAACCAACAGTCGTCCGTGGATGTGCCTAGAAAACAGTGCAGGCATGTCTGTCTTTCTGTCTGCATCTCTCTCTCAATGTCCGACTATCTGTCCGTCCTTCTGTCTGTGTGTCTGGACCTGCCTGCTCTGCATGATAGGTGGACAAATGGAAGCATATCATGCACAAGCAGATATGCTACATAAACGGCTGTCAGTTTACTTCCAGCTGATTCTAGCTGCGACGCCCGAAAATGCTTCCAGCATGTAGCTAACAGGAAGACCATCAAGCAGCGCCAAATCAGTAGCGAGGGACACTCACTGTGGCTTCCCGCTCGTCTGGCAGGGCGCAGGTCATCCGGTGACTTTGCCTGAATTGATGGGTCACGTAGGGCTTCTGAAATTCGCATTCTCTTTGCTGCGACACTGGCGCATTTGCTTCGTGACGACAACAGAAAACACGAAAGAGTGGGTATAACAAAGACCCATGCTCCGGACGTTAGGACAAGGTAGCGGCAATCATAGTTCCCTTACACCTTGCTTTGCTATCTGCCGATAGACCCGACACCTAAAACCCACAACGGGGGCTTAGTGTAGATAGATCGTACAAGGGTTACAACGGAACTTTGCAGGAACCTGAGAAGCCAACGTTCTGAAGGGGCCGTCGGTTCTACGATACATGTTACTTAGAAGTTCGCATTGACCGTCACACTCGGACAAAGCCTGGCAAGGTCTGCTGCGATACTGGATCTTCGGCGCATTAGCTGCACAGTGGGTCGGTATTATCCAATGTGCTGGGCTGTCAAACACTTTGCAGCGTAAGCCAAAGACAACTAACAACCCACGAAAGGCGCGTGAAGCTGACTCTTTTTTCCCATTTGCACCACGGGCTCAAGTTACATCACGTGCTGTTTCATTGTCATTCGCCCATACTGGGCCGAGACCATGCAGTTGGACGTCTTGGCTGATGCACATGCATACTCTGTTCCTGCCAATAGTGTCAAGATAGAGATAGACTTACAGGCACCCCACCTGCGCCTGCGGCGACAAGTACTTCAAACTGTATAGTCACAAGTCCTATACCTTGCGGAGTTTCGCGCCAGGCAAAGCTTGTAATTACCTAACTTGGCTGACTTGTGAACCCCTCCGAAAAGTTAAACTTGTAGCCTCCTTGCTATAGTTCATATAGAAACCCATAAATAAAGTTTAAAGTCCCAGGAGCCAACCAGGAGAGCGCCAAGCTAACTAGATAGCACGCCCAGTACATGAGCCCCCAACTTCTCTTGCGCAGCCAAGATTCAGATCCTTTGGGAAGTAGCAATGGAATTCGTCCGCATAGACACCGTAGAAGCCAAAGTGAGGTTTTGTAACCCAGCTGTGAATCCATTTGCCAAAAGTGTCCTTAAGAAACGGATCTGTGACTCGATGGCTCATTTTGCCAGGAAGGCGCTAATTGTTTGTGCAAGGTGTTGCGTGGGCCGCCCGAAGCTGGAGCTACTTACTGCTTCGTCTTTCAGGCGTCGTCTCCAGATCTGAGCGCTTCAGATTTCAGAATGGATATTTGTTAGAGAAGCTTTGGATTTGCTGAATGCCCGGAACCGCCACGGGCGGTCGCTGTCATGTCTCCAAGCCTTGCGAGGCGCTGGTTTGCCACAGACCCTCGATGAATCGGGGCCCTCAACCCAAGTCCGAGACTATCGCAACTTCAGCCGACTTTCTCCGGCCAAGCAAATCCTGCAACATTGGTTCAAAGTCCCAACTACGACTACGACTACGACGGCTACTACTACTCACTAGTTCGGTCTGCATTGGAATCTACTTGTCAGATACTGTCAACGTCAATCTCAACTTGGAACACACAAGCCAACCGTCCAAGAGCCCTGCGTCCGAGCGTCTGGAAGCGAGAAACCTGGCTCTCCCGGAGCAGCGTTCATCAGTTTCAGCGCCGCATAGTAGCCCGGCCCGCCGCCGGAATAACCTGGAAACAAGCACTGGGTTTGGTCGTCTTTCTTGCAAGAATGGAATGCACCACGATCACTACTGACACTAACTGCCACGGTCATTATCATGTCCAACATCTTTGGGCGTGAGGATTTGGAAATGAAGCGGGGACGGGGACAGGATTGTAGGCTAGCGTATATGCTGTGTCATGGGCCAGGAATACTCTGTCCTTCAAGGCCCCTGAGTCAGCGTCACAAAACAAGTCCAGATCTGGGGTCCAAAGCCGAGGCTTCGCCCTCCGAGCTTTGCTGTGCGGTTTTTTGCACTTTCGCGGTGGCCGGTTGTCTCACCCCACAGCGGAGAAAGTTGCTGCAGTTGATGCAGGCGGCAGTGCTGGTACATCGAGAAGACGTGGTCTCTTGGACGACCTCGATTGGTGCAGCCGCAAACAGGTTCACAGCACCAGGAAGGACGCTTGAACATCTCTAGAGAGGCCCCGACTCACGAAGCCCATGCTTTTTGGGAGGCCGGAGGTTCGCGTGATGTGGAACAGTGTAGGTTTAGGATCGAATGCCTAGGTCTGCGTTTCAATTTCACTTCTTCCTCACTCGGCTTTCCCCTCTGCACAGCCAATTTACGCCATCTACGAGAAAGCAATGATTGCGGGACTTCTCGAGTGCCAGATGTGGAGGTAGTTCAAGATTAGATTCAAGATTCCCATTTTTTGTCACTCGTGCTCGACAAGTCAGACCAGGTTTGGGGGCAATCTGAAAACAAGATTGAGCACATTGGGTCAAGCAGAGCACTAACTCAGGCATAGTTCAAATCATGGTTGCGTAGAGCGCCACAGGCTCTGTACTTGGTGCACTTCTCGATTTGTGCGTATCATGCTTGCATGGCCCCTGTTTGCTTGATCGTTACAAAGTATTGGCAGTCGCTGCAGCCAAGTAGCCAATTATTCAGGGCTACAGGGAAAAGTTGGGGGCTTTGACTTCTGCAAAGCGAACGCCTGCCACGGCGAGGCTCCTTGCTCCTCGTCTGCAGAACTCTAAAATCTGTCAACGCAGCTTTCGGACTGGTGCCCAAAGAGCCCAACGCTCCTGACTTAACGAATGCAGAATCAGTTATTGTGGGACTAGGTTGGTTTGAGGTATATTCCTGAATTTAAGGGCAAGAGGCTCCCTGAACTTCGGCCTGGTAAAAAGAAGCCTCCGACAAATCAAAAACAGAGACACACACAGGCCACACAGGACGACCATATCGGTTGTTGATCCAACAGCAATCCCCGTGTCGCTGCGACAGTCCTACTTCTCAATACAACATTCAAGGTACAGTACTAGAATACTGTGGTCACTGGCCTGTGTTCTACTTCTCGGAGCCAGTTCCTTTGGCGCCGCATCCTAGACTACCCGCTCGGCGATGTCGGTTCAGGAGTGTTGCCGGCTCGGACTGCTCTCGGCATTCCACGAGATGAGCCAGCAAGCTTTGCATGTTCTGCGTCTGGGGATGATGTGGGCCCAGCACCTCTGCTTCGGCATCCAGGACGTGTTGGCAAACTCGTATTGCCTCTTCGGTCCTGCCTAATTCATGCAGGCACTCTGTCATGCTCCCTTGCGTAAAGAGCGTGTCTGGGTGGCGTGCTCCCAGAACCTCAGTGAGAGCAGCTAGGACCTCTTGGTACATCTGCAGTGCCTCGGCGTGCCTGCCCAAACACCTGAGAGTGGTTGCCATGTTTCCTTGCGTTCTGAGCGTGTCTGGGTGGCATGCTCCCAAAACCTCAGTCTCAGCAGCCAGGACCTCTTGGTTCATCTGCAGTGCCTCCTCGAACCTGGCCCTACTCGTGAGAGTGCTTGCCAGGTTTCCTCGCGCTCGGAGTGTGTGTGGGTGGCGTGCTCCCAGAACCTCAGTCCGAGCAGCCAAGACCTCTTGGTTCATCTGCAGCGCCTCCTCATACCTGCCCAGACTCCAAAGATTGGTCGCCAGACCTCCTCGCGCTCTGAGAGTGTCCGGGTGTCGTGCTCCCAAAAACCTAGTCCGATAAGCCAGGACCTCTTGGTTTATCTGCAGCGCCTCGGCGTGCCTGCCGAGACACGTGAGAGTGTCTGCCATGTTTCCTTGCGTAAAGGCCGCCATAGAGAGCCGGCTACGTCGTCCCAGGATCCAGGTGAGAGCAGCCAGGACCTCTTGTTCCATCTGCAGCGCCTCCTCGAACACGCCCAGACTCCTGAGGGTGCTTGCCATGTCTAATTGCGTCAAGAGCGTGTTCGGGTGGCATGCTCCCAAAACCTCAGTCTGAGCAGCCAGGACCTCTTGGTACATCTGCAGCGCTTCGGTGTGCATGCTCAGGCTCCTGAACTTCGCAGCCAGCATAGCTTTTGCTCGCAGCGCCCACGGGTGCTGTGGGCGAAGGATGGGCTGGAAGAGGCCGAGCAGCACCTGCAGGAAGCGGACCTGAGCCTCCCAAGCCTCACCGAGGCGCTGTGCCTGCTCGAGCACGGCTGCTCGAAGAGCAAGGCAGGCGAAGATGCGGATGCAGCTGACCCCGATGAAGAGAAACTGCATCGTGGAGCCGCCATAAACGATCACAAAAACGGACTGCAGCAATGCTTGGGGCAGGTCTTCTGTCAGTGCCACAGCAAGCTTGGCAGGCGAAGTCTGGTCATCCAGAAAGCTCAGTTTCCGGTGCCGGATGGCTTGCACCGGGGACAGCTGCTTCAGAAGGTCATTCGAATGGAAGGCTTGCATGTAGGCGCCGGAAGTCAGGAGCACCAGCACCCCCAAGGTTGCCAAGACGTAGCCGAAGCACGACCGCGTAGCCACCGCCAGCCCAATGAAGAGCCAGTCCTTGAAGACATCGAGGGGCTCCCCCAGGATCGGCAGCACGGCCCGAACGATTGGGTAGCCCAGCGACGGCACCTCACAGTCGCTCGGAAGGCTGAGCACAAGGCCCACGGCTTGGAGAAAATAGATTGGCAGCATAATCAGCACCCAGAACTCGTAGACCTCCCAGCAGAGGCCGTCACGGACATCCAAGCGACCTGTGGCTGAAGACAGCAACGCCAAGGTGGCACAGAAGATGTGCAGGACCAGATGCCAGAAGACGCGCTGCCAACAGAAGCCTTGACCACATTCTTTGTTTCGGTTTTGAGGCTTATGAACTGGCAGTGGGGTGAAGCTGGGCGGCGGTGCGGACCGCATCCAGGCGGCCAGGCTGCGGCCCGTCCTTCCAAGGCGCGTCAGCAGCTCACCAAGCACAAAGGAGACGAAGATCAGCCACAAGATCGATGACACATAGTAGTCAAACCTGCGCTCCTGCTCGTTTTTGTTAAGCTGGCTTCCGGCGTGCAAGGGGAGTGCATGCTCAGGCCGGTCCAAGAAGTGCACGCAGCTCCCCAGTTGTTTCCAGTCCTTCAGCAAAGCAATGGTCGTCTTCGCTGTGGCCCCGGGCGATGCGAACCCTGCAGCCACGAGAGCTGAGAGTCCACTCAGAACCAGAACGACGTTTCTAAAAGACTCCTCCGAGCATCGACATCCTGCCGCCGGCCACCAAAGTAACACAGTCCAAGAAAGGGCGAACACTGGCCAAACTGAAAGCCCGATGGTGAGGAAGATCAAAACTTCGAGCAGCAGGTGCCACGCCAAAGTCGCCCACTTGACTGCGCAGGCCTTGACCAGAATTGGAGGAACAGCTGGGAGGAACGACACGGCCCCTTTGGCCGCAGCGAGGGCGCTTTCTGCAAGGCTCTGGGAGTTGAAAAGCCGCCTCGCAGGCTGCTCCGTCTTTCCGGCGGAGAGCAGAAATAGGAGCCCACAACATGCCAGGAGGAAGACGCCGAGGAGCTGGGACCGTGAGATCATGGCTCAGACGGATGAGGCAAAGCACAGTTCGTGTCCTAAAATCCGCGGATGCCCACGGGTGCTACGTTACATCCATGATGTGCGAAGGTTCTGGGTATCATTACGCCCCATGCTTCTCATCTGTTGGTGATGTTATGTTAAGCATGTTGGCTGGGTGTGCTGGGAGGGCTCGAGCCGTAGCCATATAAACTCCTTAAGCCCCGGGAGCACAGCTAGTCCTTATGGCAACCTCAATAGAACGACCCCGCGCGTCAAGTTTCACAGATCACCTCAGACATCCGTTTGAAACCAAGGGCTGGAACATGTGGGTGCTCGCTCGACTATAGAGAGTGTGGCTGCTGGGTCCAGGTCTTAGGGCCGCGTTATGCTACTCATAATAAGGAACCCCCAATATAGCATAGGTAATTATTCAGGCCCCTATAGTATCCCGGCAGCCCAGACGTGGTATCCTGCATTCGTACTGTACATGTCTGCCCAGAAAAATCCGCCTGCGCTGTCCAAGGCACGGAGCATCACGACGGTGTGATGGAACACGGCTAACTTTGAGAAGGAGAAGCAGATCCTGTGAGATGATGGAACTTGTTAACTAGGCAACTAGCCTGTATCAACTTCGTCTTACACGGGGCTTCCACGGTTCGGGGAACCGAGAATATGCCGGGTGTATACTGCAGCGTGCCCACGCAGAACAAGTGCGTTCGAAAAGTCAGATTGCCTCTGTCTGGATCCCCGTTCCGAAGTTTATGACGTCTCTCGAAGACCCAGTCCAGAGCCTGTCCAACAGCCACCCAGTTTGTTCGAACAACGCTAGCCGGTTCTCAAGCAAATCTCATCACAATCTTGCAACCAGTCGGTGAGACAGCTTGTAAGGCTTGCGACTTTGTACTGTTTACCGGTACACCGCAATGCGGGTGTCTCGACGAGTGGGCCTTCATTTCAGCTACTTTATGCACCGGCTCATTGACAAGGGGACACTTCTGGCACTCCCTTCATCTGCAAGCCCAGGCAATTCCTTGAATCAACAGGGCCCTACTAGTACAACCCCAAACAAACACAAAGAGCTTTGAGGTTTACTCCCCTGGGCCATGAGGTTCCAAGACTGATCTGCCCGGGCTCTCATCTGAGTACAAATTCTCGCGTCCAACGATCTGCCCCAAGTCGTGTACCGTGGAACAGCCTCCCAAAGAATGCTGGAGGTACCCTGCAGACTGTGCGGGAACGGGACCCGGGACTCTCGCAAATGTAGCCTCTATAGTCTATAGTTTCCGGCATCTCCAAAGCGATGTTTTGCCTTGCAGCAAGCAAGGTGGGCTCGCTGTATGACGAAAATTGGCAAAGTTGTATGCTACACCGTCCCGGTGCCCCTCAATCTACCTGTTGAGCACAAAACACAAACCAAACAAACAGCGAGGGCCACCACCACTACCACCACCACCACCACCACCACGACAAACTAACTACACAAGCACAACAACAGCAGAGACAACTACAGGAACATGGAGGAAGATATACCAACACTGCAGCTCAGTGTGGGGAAAATGCAGGAACGCCAAACTGACACTAGGCTCGTCTCATCGCGACTTCCATTTCTCGCGTCACAACTGACACCGAAAATAGCAAGCATGGACACCTGACGACTGCTACCGAATCTAAAACGGCAATACATGGAGATGGATTCATTTGTCTTCCAGTTTCCTTCCGGCAGAAGATGCTGCCATCGTTTGGGGGGGGCTATGTTCGCACAAAGTGGTCTCTGATTGGGCCTGCCACCTTGGGGATGTGCAAGTGAAACACCTCGGTGCAAAGCAGAGGCAAAGTTCGACATATCATGAAAAAGCGGCGAACAGAACCGCTGCTGTGTTTTGTATGGCTACTGCAGCTAGGGTTTCATCGTTCCTGCCCGTGCTCCAGCTCAGGGAATTGTATAGACAGCAGATAAATCTATCTCTACATTATTGCGACTTGGTGGCCCTCAGCGGCAGCATCGTCAATATCGCTATGCCCGGCATCTTCTGCGTGATCATCATCGTGGCTAGCATCTGCATCAGCACCTACCATCCAAGTATCACCACCATACATGTCATCAGCAGACTCACCATCACCATCGGCATCTTTGCTGCCGCTGCCGCAACAGGATCCCCATGACCACTATCACCATCATTGTTTACTTACTGGGGCCGCCAACATCGCCACAAGCATGACCTGGATTTTGTGATGACTCTGATGATGAGTATGATAACTGTGATGATGATGATGATGGTCATCATCATCAGCACTAGTGCTACTGGCACTACATTGCCATCAACACGTTCAGCATCACGCCCAAGGTCGACATCAGCATGGTCACATCTCAGGTGTCTCGCTTGCCACCATGGCCCTCAATACCCGCACCAGAACTCAATCTTCAGAAACAGCACTGCTAGCATCGTCAGCACCACCAACAACAGAAGGAACAAAACATCACCGTCGCCATTACGGTGCATCAGCACCACTGCCACGATCACCATCATGTCATCACAACTACCCTGGACCGTGAACGTTATCATCCTCTTCATCCTCGATCCCAGTGACATCGGCATCCCTGGGAAAGGAATGGTTCCAGCAGTCGGTATACTGCAAGCTCGGATCCATGACCTCATCCTTGATCTCATCCTTGCGAGTCAGTGGCACAGCCATGGCCTAAGAACCGGAATCAGCTTGCCATTACGAAGCCGTTGACGTATGTCGGCACCACAACCCCCCCCCCCCCCTCCGCTCGTGCTGCAAGGAATTCTGCATCATGGCGAAAGGATGTGTCACACCCGCTGATACTTCACGCGTTGATCGACTCCATTGCATCGACATGCAAACCCAAATTCTGGAATCCAAATCTAAGACAGACAAACGGCTTCGAGTCTCGAACTCCAGAAGTCCTCCACTCTACACCATCGACAACCCCAAAACCCGGAAGCCCCAACATAACACTTCCGTACTTACTTAGCCGGCCTTGTGGAGCCCCAAGCCCACTTGTAGCAGCTCCGTCCGTGCAGCGTCGCAGTCCTCCGCCTAAAGGGGATTGGGATTAGGACTCTCGCAACAGGGCTTTAGGGCCTAGGGGTGTAGCAAGTGAGTGCAGAGTGTGAACGATAAAAGCTTTAGACATGCATACATCCTGAATCCGATGGCGGCATACCGGCGAGACAGCAAGTGAACAAGCACGGGGACAACCAACTAATGTGCCCGTGTGATGTCGTGTGTTGCGTGTGCGGGCTTGGACACGTAAGACGCGCACTTATGTAGCGCAATGGGTGGTTGTGTTTGGGCATTCATATACTGCATTATGGACAGGTAGATAGATAGATACATGCATTTACACACCTTCACATATATGCGCTCATGCATGCATACATACATGCATACATACGCTAGGCACATGGATACACAAGTACACGTCTCGTGCACATTGCATGTGAATTGAACTTCACAAACCACATTACATTACATCAACTTGCGTTGCATTACAGTAAACTTACAGGAAATTAGAGATTTAATTCGTTATTCCTGGTTTGCTTGCTTTCCGAAGGCTTTAGTGGCTACAGCAAGCTTTCAAGACATGTCAATACTCAATGGGCGTAGAGCTTCGGATGTAAGGTTGGTTCCCCAATCGGTAACCCTCGTGTGGAAAAGACCTCATCATGTATGCTGACACTGTGGTGTTGACCGTCTTCGCAGAACTACTGCTGGACTTCCCCACCTCTTCGGCATTGGGGAAGGTAAGGAAGCTCAGGAACAGAAAAGCCCAAGCTCGGTTCGGTATCATCGCCGGTAGCTACCTCGTCCAGGAGCCTCCCCGGAAGTCGATTGCAAGCTGAATGGGTTGCAGCTGTGAGCCACGGCCCGGCCGGCGAGTCGGACTGAGGGTTTCAGGCTTCGGGGCTTAGTAGAGCTTGAAAATTGGGTCTTGTAGGTCCTCTTCTTTTGAGAACCCAACTGCGAGCAGAATAAGGCCTCACCTCCGACTGCAACCTGGACAGGTGCAGGTCCTCTGAATCGAAAAGGACCGGGCCAATACACAAGGACAGCCACAGCATTTCACAGCCGAAGTGCATGTCTACACGTGTTCACTCCCACAGTCGTCCAGACCACAATCAACCCTAAACCCCAAACCCTATAAACCCTAAACCCTGAACCCTAAACCGTGACGACAAGACCCCCACGCCATGGCGAGTGCTGCCAGGCGAGGTCGGTTGGCCTCGGCTCAAGAGAGGCTTTTCACGGTGCCGCAACGAGTGGGAGCTTCTCAGCTCCTCTGATCCCTGAAATACTTAGCTTTGGTTAGTAGGGAATGCAAACATGGTAGTAATAGTAGCTAAGTTATAATTGTACCCCATTCCTCCATTCCCTACTAACCCAAGGTAAGAATAAAATTGAAGGCACCACAGACTTCGCGGCGAGCACACCAGACCTGTAAACATTGCAAGCCCTTCAACCCTCAGCTGCAAAAAGTTCCAAGTGTAGCCGAGCCAGGTGACTCATAGCCACGGAGTGCGCCGGGCCTTCGATAGAGTCTATGCACCGTCTGGAGATACGGGGTTTCTGGTGAGGTCTCATGTCGCAGGACTTCGGATAAAACTGCAGGGCGTAAGGGCGCAGAAAGGTACGGGATTGCAGAGTGCTAGCCCAATCTGTGAAAAGAGACTCAAGCGCTGCCAGGAGCAAAAGATCCTAGAAACCATGCCATCCAGGTGAAATACAAGTACCAGATTACCATGAGCGCTTGGTGGTTCTGACTATTTTTGCGTCTGGATTTAAGGTTCAGTGTGGTTGACAATGAGATTTGCTCAAGCTCTGCAACCGTGTTCGCTCGTCAACGGTACCCAAGGCCCTGACTGATCGTCACATGCCTCAGCACATCTCCACTGCATGCATGCGGAGCCACTGGTTAGCCCCCATCGCCAAGGGCCAGAACCCAACGTGCAGCTGATTCTCGTCTGTTCCCCACGACATGCCACGAACACACGAGGCGTCCTTGGTCGGAGCACCCCGTTGCTATGCCTATGAACTCTTATATGGATTAAGCAACTTCGAGACGAGCTTGCAAATGAAAGCTGGCCGGGCCATTCTGGAGTATAAGGGGGAACCCCCCCCCCCCCAACCCAACTTCCTTCTCTCAAACTTCCTGCTCTCTCAGCACAGAGTGTGCCATGTGGAGATGGGCTCAAGGCTTGAAGGGCCTCGAAAGCCCCGAAGCCTCGACAGGTTTGACCGCCGAACCATGGGTCGGTATAGATGTCTGAATACCGGAGCGGATCCTAAGCCCCCTGGGAAGGCAGAATTGGCGACTAAGCTCCTGGCTGATGGTGCTTGAGGCCACTGGCTTCCGAGATGTGGCCGACCTCACAGTCCCCGAGTTCTCATTTTTCCACCTTACTGTAAATCCTCAACCAACCTGCAAAATGCCTTGCCCAATGTCCAGGATACCCGCCGGGCAGACTGGCGTAAAATGTCAACCTGACAATCCTATTCCGAAGGCCGGTGTCCCCATAGTCATCCAAACCTCACCAACAGACGTGATGAACACCAGTATAGCCCACCCAAAACACGCGTTCCTCAAAGCCCACATCTCCGGATATCGCAGCTGAAATCTAACCATAAACCGTTACCTAAGTTAAGACCATGTTTCCCCCCAGTATTTTGTGGCTTTGAGCCCGGAACTCCATAGATTGCAGCTAATCGGGCAGGTGCTCGATCTTCCGGGCTTGACGTGCAACTTCACCATACTTCACCGAGACCGAGAACGACCCATCGACCGCGAAAACCGTGAACGTCCTATGCGCCAGAACACAAGACCAAAGAAGGCTACTCAATTATTTGCTGTCCAAACTCCTTCGAAGCCCGATCCCCCGGCCCTCAGAAACTTTCCAACTTGTCTCCCAAACGGAGCAGACAGACACAGCACCTCAAAGCGGACGGCATCGGGCGCCAGGAACCTCGGTGATGTCGACTTAAGGTATAGGTCATTAATCGGGATTCACAGCTCCGGAGCCAAGACCCTTCACTCCACAGGAACTGCGCTTTGTGGGTAAAAGCCAATCTCAAACTGGCGTCCAGCCTGTGCTGGGGCCCATGCACAGGTCGCTCGAGGGGGATCGACACACTCAACTCTGCCTTCCGCATCTGTACGAGCAGATGGGACCAACGAGCAGCTGCCCACTATCAGCAAACCACAAGCACATGACTACTTAGCCTACATGAACACCTCGTCGTCTTCCAGCTATCCCGTAAACACTTTGGCGGAAGTGATGTCAAGTCTACGAAGTCCGGACTTTTCCGAAGGCCTCCGCAGCAGAGGCGGCCGCCCCACAAGGAAGCCTCGTCGTAAGACACGGTTTGGAACTCCAGACCAGCTCCCTGAGCTATGACTGAATTCCTTGAAGCCTACCGGTTTGGATCTCGGAGCCCTTTCTTCCCGAACCACAAGTCAGAACTCAAAATGTCCGTCTGCTTCCAGACAGACAATCGACTGGAACCGTGGAGGTAGTTTTTAGATGGTTTGGGGACATAAATAAATGAGCTTGCGTTGGTACGGTAACGAGACTGTCCACGATTGCAGTATAACTGTGGGTTACACACCACTGCTGACCCTAGTGCAGATATGTATGCTCTTGAACACTGTATAGGCTCTTCTGGGCAATTAATCAGTCGCATGGGGATCGACTAGTGAAGCGACGCGGGCTGCCCTGCAGATTTGAGTCGAAGTTGTGCTAAAGCAATGGTAGTAACCATGACAGGGCATGCGGACACTTAAGACCGGATCACGGTTCTCGGGCTTTGAGCGTTTGCGGTGCTCAGTGACTCAGGGTGCTTACCATGTCTAGGCATGAGAGGGAAGACCTATCATCTCAAGCAGTTGGAGACCTCTAAACTCTGAACCATTTCGAAATGCAGCACGTGTTGGTCTTCCATGTACACAAACGGTGAATCCAGGCGAAGGGGTTGTGAGAGTTTGGCTGAAACTGCAAAAGCAACTCAGGGGACACAGGGCCAGGGCAAGTTGGCGACATGCACCGGTGGTTCAACCTGGGCACATTTGCACCGGGCAACCTTACTTGGAACTTCAAACTTGGACTCCTGAGTAAAAACGCCCACAGACTGAGGCAGCGAAAAAGTCCGTTCTGCCAGCAGCTGTGCGCACGATGTGATGAGAAACCTTTTTTCAGCCAGGCTTTCTTGCCTGCACAAAGTTAAAATAGGCAACACGCCACACTTAGAGCTCGCTGAGCCAGGTGATGCCTCTGGCTTCGCCGACGATGCGATTGCAAAACATCACTCTCCACAGAGCATCTACGAGTACCGTCATCCCAGTTGCTTGTACAGGTACTGACAGCCTACAGTAGGTTGATAAGTTGCAGGAACAACACTCGTCCAAAATGCAAAGGGCAACATAAATACTTTGCATCATCTGGGGCTCGAGCCGTGCCCCGCATCACTTCAAACATCCCCTTGCATGGTTGGAGGCTGCATTGCACGGCGGAGCGTAGCTCAGGGTTCATAGTTCATAGTGTTCAGGGCTTAGGGATTAGATTGGAGATTTCTGTACTCGGATCTCAAGGGCTTCAGGGCTCCAGGCGTTTTGGGGCTTCGATGGAGGATGCTAGAGGTCTTGACGGTTTTCGGGGAAAGGGGTGAAGGGCCAAGCCCTCCGATGGCAGCATTCCGGGGAGGATTTCTATACACCTCGTGGTCTGAGCCGACGTCCTTTCGAATTCAGTCGGGGCCGCTTAAAGTCTCATATATTTCCATGAGACGCTGAACAACGAGATCCCCAGATAATAGCCTGTGCAACTTGACATCTATGTACTGAAGCTACATTCTTGGCACGCGATCAACAACAGCTTTCGACTTGAACAAGGACACCTACGCCTGCCTCAAACTCTACAAACGCACGCTCTCGCTAAAGTGAAGTTAATCTTTCCTGAGGGGCTGCAGAATGGCGAAGGATCTCAATGAAGCCCTCGAAACGTGAACAGCGGAAAAACTTCCGACCTCCTCCAGCTCAGCGATGCGGCGGACGAGATGGGCCTTGCAATCTCTACTATAAAATATGCCCCTCATACAAGACTTGGACCGGGGCATTCTCAGACACATCCTTCCGTTCTCTGAATCTGGGAGGGCTGGGGCCGCCAGCGGTTCGGGGTCCAAACACGGGACGAGCCCGATTCTGTCAAAAAGGGTCCGCAGAGGAAACATATAACTTGTGCACGCGTCACGGCCTAGAAGCCATGCACCAGCACACGCAGGAAGATAATTGCACCAGCTTGCCAAAGGAGTCCAATGCGTGTCAGACATCCTCATCGAATGACCCTTCTCCCCGACCCCAGGACGGGCTGGGCAAGGATAAAGCGATGACAAGTAAGGAGGATTGTAGCCAGGAGCGGCACTTGTACCATTCATACACATCGGAGGCGCGAGGACACTGCCACGACCGACGCGCTTTGAAGGGGATCAGCGCTGTTCTCACTAGCTTTGTGGAAGGTTGGCAACGTTTTGCACGCAACGTCTGTATGAAAGCCCCGCAAACTATCGAGACCAGGTTCTGTCAAAGCCCACGATCTCCCTCCCCTTGCTCCCAAGCTTCCAAGATCCCTGAAAGCCAAGATCCTCCTCCACGCCTGCTCTTGTGCAAGGAAGCGCTGCAGCAGGTCTTTCAGGGCGTCCAACTCTGGAACCTCAGGATGTCGTTGGTGCTCTGCGGTGGCCCATGGATGTTTATTTCTGATTTGGAGAGTAGCAGCAGCTCTCCTAGCCGGCTGCGAGGCG